AACCGCCGAGTAACAAGTTTTATGTCAATTGCATTACAATTAAAAAATGTTTTTGTTTATGTATGAGTGTCCCTAAAGTTTAGTTTAGATTTTTGCTTTGTATAAAAATAAAAATGCATACAAATATGTATAACAAATTTTCACCACATAAACATTGTTGAAGAATTAATGTAACAATTTAATTAAAATGGGTTTAATATTTTTTCCTAACGAATGTAATAAGTGTTCTATTATGTCATGAGTGTCCCAAACTTTTAGCCCAAGTTTTACCTTCGAACAATTCTAAAATGCATGGCAAATAAATAGGCATAAAACAATGTTTCTCAACTTTACCAATGCATGAACTGTTACTCTTTTCTCTGTATTTTGCTTAATTTAAAAAAATTGTCTTTATCAAACGTGACCTTATAGTAAAATTTATGGTTCGTTTGAGTTTCATAACTCTAACAAATTAATCATCATAAGGGTAGATGCACCAGTTTTGGACACTTTAAGGAATTTCTGACTTTTTAGGTCATTTTTTCTTATGTTTATTATAAAAAATGAGATACCAAAACTTGTTAATAGATTAATTATCATTCTTAGTTTCAGAATTTCTTGTTTTTAAAGGTTAAAAAAATATTAATAATATAATAAATTAATAAATAAATAAAAATGTCAATTTTGCCAGTTTTGGACACTTTTGCTCCATTTATGGCCACCGTTTGGCACCATTTTTGGACAGTTTCAAAAACTAATATAAAACTCATGCAGGCATGAAATAAAAGCAAATAGTAACTATTATTTCACAGAAAATAGTATTTTAACTTAATAATATTATGATACATGATATTTTTTGTAAACGAATATTATTCTAATGATTCTAAAAAACAATTATTTGTACTCACATTTTTCAGGTTACTAGAATGTAGTAGGCTTTAGTATATTTTAATTATTATTTTATATTACAGTAAATTTTTAAATAAATATCCTGTAAATTAGTAATATTTTTAATCTACACTACCGTCGGGAATTATCGGTACGGCTGCACGCGCACGGCCCAAAAACATACCAATCTTTAAATCACGATTTTTTTGTAAATACAAATGTCAGAAAATTAACAAATATACCATTCGAAAGATTATTAAATTCTACGATTAATGGTACATAACTGAAAATTTTAATAATTTATACAAAGATTGCAGCAATTGACAAATTTGACAAAAAAATTTTAAAAATACAATTTTTTTGGAAATTTTTTCAACCCCTGCACATTTTTTAAAAATTGCAGAAAAAATTTGAAACTTATATAGGTGTGATCATTTAAGTCTCATCTTTAATTTAAGACCAAAAGAATTCAAAAATCTTAATCGGTTAGCGAGTTATCATTATAAACGGACGAGCATTTTCAGCCAAAAACCGTTCAAAATCGACTAATTCAATGCATTTGTCAAAAAACATGCTCGGACGTTTATAATGATATCTCACGAACCGAATAAGATTTTTAAACTCTTTTGGTCTTAAATTAAAGATGAAATTTGAATGATCACACTTATGTAAGTTTCAAATTTTTTCTACAATTTTTAAAAAATGTGCAGGGGTTGAAAAAATTTCCAAAAAAATTGTATTTTTAAAATTTTTTTGTCAAATTTGTCGATTGCTGCAATCTTTGTAAAAATTATTAAAATTTTCAGTTATGTACCATTAATCGTAGAATTTAATAATCTTTTGAATGGTATATTTGTTAATTTTCTGACATTTGTATTTACAAAAAAATCGTGATTTAAAGATTGGTATGTTTTTGGGCCGTGCGTGTGCAGCCGTACCGATAATTCCCGACGGTAGTGTATTACCTCTTCTTTACTTTTGAAAGGCAATTTTTCTTTTAATTCATTTATAATATTTTTGGTTATTGACATTTGTTTATATAAACATATAAATTTTTATTTTATTTTAGTACTATTATAATTATAATAATTATTATTATTTATAATTAAATAAATGTGATGTGTATTATATTTGATAAAAAATATTAATTTAGTATAAATCAAGAAATGTCAATAAGCTTTTTTCAAGAGGGTGGCCAAAACTAGTTTAACGTCATATCCAGTTTTGGCCATGTAAGGCCAAAACTAGATAAATGAACAAAAAACTGTTCCTGTTTTGGTCACCCTATTTTTTATTAAATAAAAAGGTTTAAACAAATTATTTCGTATGTACTGCATAATTCAAACGACTCTTATAATTAACCTATAAATTTATATTATTATTACCTTTAAAAACGATATTAGCGATTATATTTTGTGCACTGTCTTACGGTTTACTTTTAGCAACTGGCCGTTTGTCAACACCTCTTTCAAATTATTTTATTTTTATAAATAATAAGTACAATTATTACAAAAATTCAAAAGATTTGTCAAGAATTTTAATTGTGAAATAAAGTTTTATAAAAAAATATAAAGTGAAGGTAACAGAATATTATTAAAATTAATAAAAGTGTGTGGTTGGCCAAAACCGGTGGCATGGCCAAAAACAGTGCATCTATCCTAAATAGAAAATTTGCAGAAAATTTTTTTTTGAAAAATTTGACTATACTTCTGACGAAAAGATGTGTTAAATATATCACTTTAATTGCGCGACCACTATGAATTTCGTTAATGTAATATATATAACTGTTTAAAAAAATTGGTTTCAATTACAGAATCGGAACTTGCTACTTCAACTTTTGTTGAGGCTGAAAATGACAATTTAAATGAAATGACCCATGTATACATGTGTAATGTTAAATAGAAATCAAATCACTAGTTTTTATTACGACAAACAAATATGTCATTAAATCAACAGCACTTTTTATCAGTGTAAGAATGTCAATTTTTAGCTGTTAGGTAAAGAAACTGCAACATGTTACTTACATAATAACAGAAACACGCTTGGTGAACAATATCGATGAAGTAGTGTTGCATGTCGAGCGAGACTACGATGAAGGATCGTACATCTGGTTGTTGGAATCACTGCGTCAGGTAAACACCTTCATCTTCTAGTCCCGTTCTTTGCGATCTCTCTGTAGGTACTATTGCGGGAAAATGTGAAGCTGGTTTCGCTTTCCTCTTCACACCTCATGTGTATAAAGTTTCTATTCTTACACCTAACGCTAAGCCAAGGAGATAATTTCTCGTTTTATTGTGCCACCTGGACTAGAAATCCCCGTCGAGTTTCCTTATTTTACAATCTTTCGCGTCGGACAAGAATATCGGAAACGTCCTGATATTTAAGTTTGATTTTGCCGTAAATGCGGCAGATCATATTCTCAGAGTGTACGTCTTAGTCGCGTTCGTCTCGGTAGATCATGAGCTGAACTCTAGACTAGTTCCGTAAAGTAAGAAACTACACACATCTACTTGAACTGTAAGAGTAGATGTACGCTTCCGAGAAGGGATTATAAGTATGGTAGGGAGTACACGACGATATATCATAGACACATTCGTTTCTCCATTTAATCAACATGCCTCTAGTTCCTCCCTATTTTGCTACTATTTGTTTACTACTATTTTCATTTATATTATTATTTTTTTATTATACATTTTTACAAAAAATATTCTAAAAAATTACCAGCTTTTTGCTACGATTAAAAATCACTTTCCGTCATTCATCTGTTTTAAAAGTACAAAAATAGTATAGGCCATTTTTATGATCTGAAAAATAAATGTTTAATTATTGAAACTTTATATCTATCTCCCAAAAAAATTTTAGGTTATGTCTATGATCGTTTTATCTTGATTAGGGGGGCTTTTTTTAACATTATGAAATGAAAAATTATTTTTTATTGGATATATTAAATGTGAGGAGCATTTAAATGTCATTAGTTTGCACTGAAAGTTAATCCTCTTCATATATTATTACTTGAAAATTAACAACCATAACCTGTAAATTTTATAGAAATACGTCTCTTTTATCGTGGAGCGTAACACCTGGTAAAAATTGGAAACTTACTTTAAAAAATGTTTCTATTGACAAGACGAAAAATTTGCCAACTAAAAGTCTGATGGGAATGTGTAATGGTGCCATGATAATGCAAAGAGATTTTCTGAATTTTTTGTTTGAAATGGAAGTCCAGTTACATTCGTAAACTGCATCCTTCAGTTCAGTTGCCTATGTTTTATTAAATTTTTGTATAGTAGGTAAATATAACAAAAATTGATTGAATAATGTAAAAAAAGTAAGAAATATTTTATCAAATCAAAAATTTTTCAAAACAGAAAAAATTGTTAACGAAATTTTATAAAAAATATAAAATATTGTAAATGAGCTATAAAATATAATAGAAATGTAAAATAAATTAATACTACTTAATTAATATTATTTAATTAATAATTAATAATATTTTGTAAAATATAAAATAGTTAACTTGGTAGGACACTTTTGATGGTTAACTTCTTGCAAACTATTTTCAAATAAAATTTATTTGAACCAATTGAATAATTAAAGGAAAATTTCGTATATTGTAATTTATTAAAATATACTTTACTGATATAAAAGACTAATAAATATAAAATATGAAAAGTATAAAATAAAAAAATTGTAAAATATAAATTATATAACATAAAAATAAATAAAATGTAAAAATAATAAATATTACAATTTGAAAGTATATATTCATAACAAAATTTTATAAGAAAAATATTGTTGCTTTAAAAATTAATAGATTTTCTAAAAAATTATTATTCGATATGCTATATATAAATAAATAAAATAAAAGAAACTAAATAAATACAAATTATGGAAGAAATATAAAATACTTCCTCTACGAGAAAGCAATATTATAAAAGTATAGAAACAAAAGTTAATTTTAGTCTAAAAGTAAATGGTGTAAATAATAAATTATGAACTTGTAATTAATAAAAATAGTAAACCTTTACTGTAAAGTCATTGCACCTCCACGTATAAAGAAATATTTCAATCAGCATGCAAACTTGATACTGTAGGACAACATAAAACTCTAGTGTGGCTGGTGACTTCTGCAATTAAAATCTAACTTGAATATTCCAAGCGAGATTATAGAGAAACATTTGTCGAAATAGTAAACTTACTAATGTCATTTGATAAGTTGAAGTACAAATAACAATTGTACTTGCACACACTTGAGTTACAATACCCACTTCAAAGAAATTTGTCACATCATGAATGTATCTAAATTGAAAGCATCTTTATTAAACACTGATTTTAATTATTTAAATTTAATTTAAATAGGTTAAAATTAATTCAAAACAAAAGTTTGAATTAAAATTAATTTTCTTAAGTTTGTTTTAACTTGATAGTCGCGGTCGTAAAATTGTTAAAATTCGGAGGTCTTTAGCAATTTTTATACAAGTTGGTAAGATTTGCAAGAAGAATTTATAATTTGAATGAGGGACGTTTTTGCTTCAGCTCTACGGAAGCTGTTATTGAAATTTCTCTTAGTTTATTTTTAACTATTCAATATACAAATTGCTATATATGTTAATGCTACATATATGTTAATAATCACTGATTAAAATATTTCATTAAAGTTTTTAATTATTATATATTGAAAAAATACTAAATATTATATTTAAAAAAATATAATATTCGTACTAAAGTATGAATGTAACAATTTTAAATAAAATTTAAAATTGAAATTAATTTAAAACGTTTTCGTGGCATCAGAAAAAATAAAAAAAATTTAACGATTTTAATTTCAAACTGGGTACAATAGCATGTATTAGTATCCTAAGGGAATCAAAACACTAAAGAAATTAGAATTGAAGTTAATATTAAAATGAATGATACTGTTTTCTTGCAAAAGACAAAAATTCTTACAAGATATTGTTTTTAAAACTTACTTTAATATTTCTTTGTAATGTTCAGTGCTTTTTATAATTCGTCTATTTAAGAGTTCTTCCAATGATTCTTCAATGCAATCATTGACTATATTTTCTTCTGAATTATATTTTGATAAATTTTCAAAATTAATTTTTTTTGTCTCAATAGATATTTCTTCTTCTTTTGATAATAATTTTTCTCCAATAACATTTTTAAATTCTGACGAGCAGTTACTTTGATTAACAATGTCTGCTAAATTTTTTAAATCTTGTTTTAAAATTTCTATTTGTCCCATCATAATGACATAGAAATTTGTTATCATCGTGTCTATCATTGCATTCACTGATGCTGTTCTGTATAAAAGAAAGGCTTGAGAAATGTATGTAATGAAATAACGAGGATTCTTTGTTGTATCATAAGGGTACCAAGCCACATACAATAATTGATTTTTCTGGAAATATAAAATTAATTGTTAATTTAGAAATAAATTATCGCGGCGATCCACCAAAAACTTTTTTTTGATTTTCTAAAATCTTAATCCGAAACTAAACTTCTTTCGACTCAAAAAATATGTCAGGTTTTTTTCAGATTTTTTGAAGGTCATTTAGAAGTCGCTATTTTGATTTTTTTGTAAAATTTGTGCTTTTTGTGTAAATTTTTTTTTATTTCTACGTATTCAATCTTGTCAAAACTATGCACATTTTTAGAAAATATTACCAAATTAGTTAAATCATGGTTCTGAGTAAAAAAAATAGTTTGAAGATTATTTTTTTGACCTTAAATGAAAAAAAATCGGTCTCCTGCACGTTTAAATTTATTTTTTTTATTCAATCCTCTTGAAGTATTTAAAAGAAAACTAAGAGAGATATATTTGATTTGGTTAACTTTAAAAAAAATTTCAAGAAAAAATTATTTTTTATAATAAGAAAATTAAAATAATTTAATCATTTTTAGCAAAAAATATTGTAAACATGTAAATCAAGTACAGTCGAAAGAATTACTTTGACTAAAAATATAAAAGACTTAATTATATTATATTTAAAGTCAAAGTATATAAATTTATTCCTTCTTTATTTTGCATTTTTAAAAGATGTTTCAACATAACCCTTTTGTTTACATTAGAAATATTTTTTCTGTGATTATCAACCTTTGCAGTAAGTTTTGAAAATATTTTTTATCCCTTGTGAGCTTTTTATTGAAAATTGTTGCTGATGCGACACCTTTTTCTGATATATCATTCACAACACTTAACTTTTTCTGTTTTTCTCTTGATCTCATAAAGTTATCATCTTTTTCCCACAAACTTGGTTCCTTTTTCAAAAACTCAGTCGATAATTTATAAGCATCAAACAGACTTTTACTGTTCGAAGTCACAAAATGATGAATTTGCGTTTTTGGAATCTCTTTTGTTGAAACATTAGCTGCAATGAGTGGAATGTCACAACCTTTTTTATCCAATGCATCAACCATCAATTTTTTTTCATCAGATGTAATGCGTGGAGCAAAAAAGGCAAGTTCTGCAAGATATTCACTGAGATACCACAAGTGCGAAGAAAAGGTCTTAATAAGAGTTGGTCCAGCAATAGATCGAATAGTTTTCTTATAATCGACCAGTTCTTTGAGCAGATTTAAATCATTTAATGGGTCAGAAATAGCCGATCGACACGTAAACCACTACTGCAAGTAAGTTTTGATAATAAAAGAATTAAATTTTTGAAGCCCAGATATTTCAGATTCAGTAAGCTTAGATTGTTTTCGAAAAAGATAAATTTTTAAATTATAAATTAATATTGCCATCCATCGTGCTTTGTGAAAAACGCCTGGAGTTTTGATCTTAATGTTTGGAGTGGTGTCGGTTCCCAAAAAGAGCAAGCTTAATTCAAGCAATTCTTTGTAGTCATCTCTTGGATGGAAAATTGTCAACTGATTTTTTATAAATGTGATAGTAACTATTGCTCCAGCAAGTAACTCTAGCATATGGTGTCTACAATCTAGATAAAAAAGAAATTTATTTAGTTTCATTTGCAGCAACGTGATTGCTCCTTTATGTTTCCCAGTATTACTATCTGTTGTATCTGTGAACATAGAAGTTATTTTTTCCATCAGTTTCCACTCATTTAATAACTGAAATACTGCTTCTGCTTGAGCTCCTCTAGTAGATAATGTAATTTTTGGAACACCAAGACATTTTGCAGTATTTTCACCAGTGACGTCGACAGACAATTGATCAATTTTTTTGAAATTTAAATCTGCTAATAATTTTCCATCCCAATGAGTTGTCAAACAATCATCAAACTGAAACGAATCCTTGTCTTGAACAGCATTTTTTCACGAATCTTTTTTCGGTTTCGCCAAATAGTGCTTTTGGAACAAGTAATATTTTTTAGATTGTTTTAGTGTATGAAGAGTACAAGGAAAAAAAGGTTTGGTTCAAACAACCGAAAATTCGTTTTGGTCAACCGAACTGGATGGTTGACTATAGACTGACCAAACTCAGCGTTTGCTGGGACCAAACTAGATTGGTTGCACGGAGTTCGGTTCATCCAACCAAACTGTTCTTTTGGAAATACCATTCGAAATTGGGTTGTGTGAAACAAATAATTTTGTTAAAGCAACCCTACTTATAAATATTTTTTGCTTGGAAAAAATAAAAAATTTTTTTTAGGAAAAAACCTCACCTTTATGATAAAATTTTTTTTTAAAAATAAAAACTGCCCATTTGATAAAAAAATGAAATTTTATTTTTTAATTTAATTTTTCAAGGTCAAACATTTTTTTCTCTACATTTGTTTACACCATTAGAGAGTGTTGAAAAACATCAGAAAAACCCAAAATAGAAAACGTATTTTCGTTTTGTTTTAAAGAAACTACAAATTTTTCAAATATTCCATGTTAGACCAAAAATTTAAACTTTGACCCCCTCCAGTTTTTATATTTGTTTAAATAAATTAATAATATTTGGTATTTTTAATTGTATCTAATAGGACTACTGTTTCTGCAAAATTTTAACCTGATCCCAAACATTTAAAATTTTGACCTGGGTCACTTAACGTGGAACCCGTCATATACAAAGTGACTTCTTTATTAAAAAAATTTTAATTGTTGCAACAATAAGCAATTGAATTTTTTAATTCTGTATAAAAAATAAAAAAGGAAGTCCGGAAATTTTCTAAGTTCGCATTTAAAAAAGTGGGGATTGTCACAGTTCGGTCATTGTAACCCGAAGGTTTGGTTTGAATAACCGATTGTGCCCTAACCAAACGGTTAAGGTTGATACAACCAAACTGCATAGGTTGAAGTAACCATTCCCTTTGTTTCTAACAACCTATCTAGCATCAACCATACTCAGTTTGGTTATCGGAAACAAACCATTTTTTTTCCGTGTAGATTAAATAATAAGAGACCCGCTTTCACAACTCATAACTGCTCGATCTAAAGCCGAGCAAATTTCTGCTGATCCAATATTTATTTTCAGATTAGAAACACTATTCGCTAATTTTAATTTTCTTGTTTTAGGAACATATTTCTTTATTTTATTTATAATATTGCTTCCTCATAGAGGAAGGATTGTATTAGCAAAATTTTCGATTGTAATTTTTTGACATACTTATAAACTTATTTTTATTATACCTAATCTTTTAGTTCTTTATGTACGAATGGTCACTGCTCGTATAAATGTTATAAATAAATAAATAAAAATTTCGATGTTATTTGACCTCAGAAGTCCAAAAAACGGATTTTAAAAAAAATGTGTGTGTAATAACATTACATTTGCCTCAATATCTCAGAACGAGAAAGAGCTAAAAGCTTCAATTTGTTTTAAATTGTAGGTCTTCCCAGGGGACATAAAATGAGCGTATTTTCAGCCTTATTTCCTAAAGTTTAACTATATTTTTTTGCATTTTTCATTTGGTAAAAAAACGTTTTTTGGCCATAACTTAAAAAAAATGTTAGGACACCTATAAATGTTTTTCTTAAGTTTTGTAGAGTTTTTTCAGACGCATCTTTTGAGCCTTCATTGAACATTTTTCGTTCATATTAGCCAGAGATATTAAAGTTTTAAAAATCTAAATTTTTCGAATATAATACTTTTTTGAAAATTTTGTTGAAAAATGTAAAAGTAAATTTAAAAATATTATAACCAACTTGTAGAGCATTAAAAAACGCTTCGATTGACCTATTTTTGAACCTGGTTCGGTCAGAAATTATGAAATTATTGGAATTTGAAAAATAAAAAATTGTTGAAAACATCATTTTTTCAACATTCTTGTTCATTAACTTATGTGTAATTATTAAACTATTATAACCATCTTATAGAATATATAAGAACACATTTTTGGACCAAGATTTAATGATTTTTAACCCTTTTATAAAAAGTAATCCTTATATTTTAATTATTATTATTATTTCTTTAAGTCAGCAAAGTTTTCATGAAATGAACACCAAAATTATAAAAATGAACAACTTGGCAGCGGTTTTTGTTTTTGTATACTAGTCGAGGGTCAGAATTTCTCAAACGGATCACCTAAAACTAAAAAATTTTCTTTTTGAACCAAAATAGTTTTTTTACGCTTAATATGGCTAAGAAGAAGCCCTGAAAATATTAAGCCAAAAAAAATTTTTTGTAAAAGTTATTAACAATTGAATTTTTTAGTACTGCTAAATTAACAAATTTTTTCTCGAGTTCCAGTTGACGGATTTTAAAATTAAAATATGGGATTTTTCGTCTTGAATTGCACTATTTGAATATATTTTTTGTTTTTAAATTTTTTATTTTTTATAATTTTTTATATAATTTGTTTATAAAACGTTAATAAACAAATATGTTCTTCACGTCCTAACAAAAAAATTAAAATTGTATTCTATTCCTTAACCCTTTGAAGACCAAATATTTTCTTAAAAAATCGCGATTTTTGATTTTTAAGCAAACTTTTCAGGAACAGTTATTGATGTTTTTTATTTGAATACCAGTGTATGTCATACGAAATTTTTCAGACTTTGTGAAAATTATTGTTTCAATATTCAGTTTTGAAAATTAGGAAATTTATGCACGAGTTAATAAAAAAATGTTTATGTTGCCTGAAAGCAACACTGGTCCTCAAAGGGTTAAATGTCTCCGAGTGTAAAACTGTTTCGAAAAAAAATGAGCCTCAATTAAAAAAAAGTTATTAATTAAAAACTGCAGCCGTGTAGGGCTTTATATGACGTTAAACTCGCCCCGCGCGCATTGGCATTTTTTTCAAAATTGTCTGTAACCTACAAATTTTATCGGATTTTCATGGGCTTGGTCTTAAATTAAAGGGGATAAAATTTCTAAGAGATCCCACTAAACCAATTTTTGAATTTTGAATTGTTTATATTTTTTTTTTACTCAAAGTTAACAATTTACAATATTTTTAGAAAAAATCATGTTTATTTTTTTATTTTTTCATTGCAGATGATTGGAATCAA